GGCCGGCCCACTCTCTTACGTTTTCAATCTCTCTTCCTCTCAAAGGAGACTTCTCTGCAGCCGATAAAGTAGGCTCAAGTCCTTCCACACTGACATCATGGCTTCCCCTCTAACATGCCGTTCCTCGATAGAGCACTCTCTCTCCTGATTGAAAAACAGCCTGTCCCGCTGCTTTCCATTTCCATCCCTCTCCCACCCTTCAACCCCTTGCCGCCAGCTGCCACTTCCGCCCATCTCAGAAAACCGGAAGTCCACAGTCAACTCTAAAGGCTTCGCCTTCATTGCAGTCTCCCCGTGGGTGTGTGGTATGAAGGACAGCGTCCCCAGATTTTCCCAGCCTCCAGGACACTGTGACACTGTATTACTGCACTTCCACCACCGGGCCTCTCCAACTGCCGCTGGTTTAATGTGGTTCTTTTCCTCATCTTTCTCTCATCCTCTCCAACAGATAAGTGTCCCTGAAGGATCCTACCTTTGTCCTTTGCTTCTTCGCTTTCCATTGTCCTTGTCAGTGACTCCTGGGAATTACAATTGCTCCTAAGGACATGACCTATGAATCTCGGTAACTGCCGTCTCTCTGAAGCTCTGTACCCGTACTTCAGTCCTGTCGCTTGGACAAACCTGTCATGCTCCAAAGGAAGCGTTTTGCCTTCTCGTCCTCATGTTCCTTCGTCTCTTCTTTTGGACAATGACTCGGTCATTCTTTCAGCTAAACCTGATGGTGATCTGTGTTCACTTCCCTACTCCCCTTCCTTTTTCCTGTCTACGTTCAGGTTCCTCAGATTATTCCCACACATCATCTCTTAGGTCTGCCTCTTCCTTTTTTAAAAAAAATAAAAAGATTTTTGCTATAGGGCGCATGTGCTTGCTGGAGAGACAGAGAGAAGCAGAGAGACAGAAACCGAGAAATTATCCCCCAAAGGGGATGGCCACCACTACAATCCCTTCTCCTCCGTTCTCGTCTCGGGATTTGGGGCATGCAAGCACACTCTGAGGCATGAGTTTCAACCTCAGAGTCTGGTACTTGAACCGCGGTCAGCCATGTGGGAGTCCAACGATGTAACCGTTATGCCATCTGCTGGTCCCTGCTTCCTCCTCCTTAATCCCACTTCCTCTTACCCCTAATCAGACAATAGGGTCTCTCTGGTCCCCCTCCTGCCAGTCTTTTCTCGTCAGTCTGTCCAGCATAAAGCTGAAGAGTATTGTACTAAGGCATAGTCCAGATCCTGCCAACCCTCTTCCTCAGCAGCCTTCCACTGCTCCCTAGTACTTGCTGAATGAAATCCATACTCCTTAGCTTGGCATACAAATTGCTCCACAACCTTGGACCCACCTTTCCCTCTCTCTATCTCATTTTATCTTCTGGGATTCCCAGTGCTCCAGCCAAAGCCACCATTCCCGTTCCCAGTGCCAGCACACACTTTCCCACCACAAGCCTTTGTTACACTGTCCCTCCTCCAAGCACGATCTCCCTTCTCTGCCAGTCCAGATGCCACCCGTGTAATCCCGGCTCAAAAGCTATCTCTTCCATGTAATCGTCCCAATTTTTCCAACAATGCAAACTGTGTGCCCTGGGAACTCCCGCCGCACTGCGGCCTTCGTCAGCACTTACCCGTTTCCCCCCTTTCTGCGGTCACTTTCAGGAATGGCTCTTTCTCCTTCTAGACCATGAGTGTCCACTGGGAAGAATCCAGGTCTTCTCAGTCTTCAAATCCCCAACCCTCTCCACATCCCCTACCCACTATCCGAAGGAAGATGGCAGCTGAGGCAAACAGGCAACTGACAATTATTTGTAAATTAATGACCATAGCCGAGAGGGTTAACTGTGGGTTTTATTGCTTATAATTCTCTCCTTTTTAGTAATTACGACTGCCTTATAAAATGATAGTCCTATAACCCATGGCACCATAGTTTACGCCTTTAGAGATCGATTCTCAGATGTCTTTTATTCCCCAGCCTTCTGAGGAACGAACTTCTTTAAGAGGCTCAGTAATGGAAAAGGGACGCACTAATGCCACTTGCAGTGAAGGAAAGGCATCCACACAAAACAAATGGCTTGCTGCAGGCTACGGCAAGAGGTACCCCCGCTTACCAGGCCGCATCCCAGGACTCAGGCTGTACCGCGACCCTGACCAGTCAGGTCTTCAGAAAAGGCAGGCTCTGCATTTTAAAGACGATCATACTGACATGAGAAAGGAAATCACTCATTCATGAGTCATCGATGATGCTTTGTATAATTCTTCTTTCTCCAAACAGTATGTTTACCTTGGGAATTTGTAATATTCTTCAACTTTCTTTCATAAGACATTCACATCTCTGGTTTTACTTGCAAATATAAAGATGATGACTTTTTTTTTTTTCTTAAGCAAAACCTCTTAGAATGGTTTTTAAATTCTCTAAGTACTTTTCTCAGAAAGAGATTTGGCAGAAAAAGAGAGTAAAGAACTATGATTCTAAATTCATTTTTATAAATCTATCCTGAAACCTTGGCTGAGATCCAACAACCTCACATTTAAAATGTTAGAAGGCTTGACTTGAAGGACATGAAGAAATGCACTTTAGCTGATGGCTCTGAGAGCACCTGGTCTGTACACCGTCATTAATTAGGAGAAGACGAGTGGGGGGAAAATGCATATGTTGATAGCCCTAGTTATATCATTTGTAATGTGACAATGCTATTATCAACTTTAGCCAAAAAAAAAAATTTTTTTTTTTTTTTGAAAAAGAGAAACGTCTGGTGCCATCACCTTTTGTATTTCCTTGTGTAGCCAAGACTGCCACAGGCTTTTCCGAGAGGACGGGGGCAGCCAGGTCGGA